ATAAACATACACACAAGTAAAATAATCTGCAAATTTTGGTTTGTTTTTCCTGTTAGAAGCTAGACAGAGCCATTCCTTATCATTTTGATGCAAGCATTGGAACTGAAACAGTACAGTGAGAGGCACCTCCAAAATTGATTTCCCTGGATGGATAGTTACAATAATAAAGGAAGCTGTTAGGGAGGTAGGTGGCCTTGAAATGCATGCTTGGGAAGCAAAATTTTGGGGTAATTGCAGGCACAGGAGTAGGTTCACCCTCATATTTACCATACCCAAAGAAGATTACAAAATCTCAATGTTTTCCGAAAAAACTCTCCTTATGAGAGTAAGACTTCAGCCCTTGAAGTAATCATTCCATAATGATTAGCTACCAGCTTGCAGAGTGAATGGCTACCAGTTATCTCTTCAGCAGATTAAAACACTCATACAAAATGAATGGCTAGCATCATTTGTCAGTTTGCTCTTCTGTAACATTCTAAGACTGTTCTTCTTTAAAAAGGATTCCCCCCTCTCTCTTTTCCTCTCTCCCTCCCTCCCTCTCTCTCTGTGTTTGTATGTATGTGTGTATTTATTTTGTTGTTGTGTTCTTCAGTTGCTAAATCATGTCTGATTCTTCACAACCCCATGAATAGAGAGAATAGCCCCTGTTCTCCACGTCTCCCAGAATTTGCTCAGATTCATGTTCATTGCACCAATGACACCATCTAACTATCTCATCCTTTGCTGTTCCCTTCTCCTTTCACCTTCAATCTTTCCCAACATCGGTTTCTTTCCCGATGAGTTTTCTCTTTTCATTTAGTGGCCGAAGTATTTGACTTTCATCTTCAGTATCTGCTCTTCCAAAAAACAGTCAGGATTGATTTCCTTTAGGATTGACTGATTTGACCTCCATATAGTCGAAGTGGCTCTCAAAAGTCTTCTCCAACACCAAAATTCAAAATTACCAATTGTGTGTACATGCATGTTTGTGTGTGTGTATTTGTGTGGGGAGGGAAGGTGTATATACAGTATACACAGAATAAATACAGAAAAAAACAACAGAAAAAATATCTGATTACAACTCTGCGTACAAAATAAAACAACATTTCACAATCTTAATAAGGTATCAAGATACAATACTTTCAAAATTTTCTACTGTTAAGGATTTTTAAATCTGCCATTTAACTATAAGTATTTTACCCAACTTTGAATAGATTGTTGTAGTGGCAATGTCATCTACTTCATTCTAAAACCAGACTGCAATCATACTATTTCAAGGCAATATTATTTTACTGATGATTGTAATGAGATATTTCTTATGATATCACCATCTTTCTACAGACTCCCTTAGAAATCTAAAATAGGTCAGGTTCCTTCAGTGAATTTGTAATCTGATGAGATTTAAAGTATTTAAAGTATAGAGAAAAGTAAAGTCTTACACTTAGGCAAGAAAAACAAAATTTACACATATAGACTGGGTGAAACCTGGCTTAGTAGCAGTAACTGTGAGAGGGATCTTGGAGTCTTAGTGGATAATCAGATAAATGTGAGCCAGCAGTGTGCAGTGGCACCCAAAAAAGCCAATGCAATCTTAAATTGCATTAACAGAGGGATACAATCAAGATCAAGTGAGGTACTAATATCACTCTATAAAGGCAAGAATACTGCATCCAGTTTTTGTCACCACATTAAAAAAAAGACCACACCATCATAAAAAAAGATGTTGAGACTCTAGAAAAAGTGCAGAGAAGAGCAACCAGGATGATTAGAGGACTGGTGGCTAAAACTTATGAAGAATAGTTGGAGGAACTGGGCATGGCTAGTCTAGTGAAGAGAAGGACCAGGGGAGACATGATATAAATGTTCCAATATTTGAGGGGCTACCACAGAGAGGAAGGGGTCAAGCTATCAAAGCACCTGAAAGTCAGACAAGGAATAATGGATGGAAACTGATCAAGGAGAGATTCAACCTAGAAATAATGATAAATTTTCTGACAGTGAAAACAATCAACTAATTGAACAACTTGCCTTCAGAGGTTGTGGGAGCTTCATCACTGGAGGTTTTCAAGAAGAGATTGGACTGCCATTTGTCAGAAATGGTGTAGGGTTTCCTGCTTGGGCAGGGAATTGGACTGGATGACCTACAAGGTCCCTTCCAACTCTGTTAATTTGTAATTTCTTCCATTTGTTTTTAAATTTATCTCAGCTTTTGGATACTGCTAACATGTACCATGTGCATAATGTATACCATTGACATACCATTGTTACTGCATTGAGCTGGGATCAAATGTGCTTCCTTCTGCATTAGATCTATCAGAGATGTCTAAAATATTATCAGCCAAGCTACTGGTTTCTTACTAGTTAATTGTCAGCTCATTCCTTCTTCAGAATAGAACAGAACAGAACAGAACAGAATAGATTTATTTGGCCAAGTGTGATTAGACCAAGCAATTTGTCTCTGGTGCAGAAGCTCTCAGGGTACATGCAAAACAACAAACTAATAATAATCATAATAATTATATCAATAAGTGGAGGTAATAGAGATGAGAAGGATAATAACATTATAGGCATACTACATGGATACATTTATTTATTTATTTAGAATATGACTAAATAAATAATATTTACATCCGTAAATATTTACATGGGCAAAAATCGTTAGACATAAGACAGTACTGTGGGAATTAGGTGTTCAACAGATTGATGGCAGGATAAAAAAAATACTGTCTCTGTATCTAGTTGTTTTGGCATGAAATGCCCTGCAGCAGTGTCTTGAGGGGAGGAATTGAAACAGTTTGTGTCCAGGATGTAAGGGGTCTGTAGATATTTAGTATCTACTGATATTTAGATATTTAGTATCCACTGTAGATATTTTCTCAGCCATTCTTCTGACCCACACAATATACAAGTATTCTATGGAAGGCAGGCTTGTTGCAATTGGTTTTTTTTTAAGTCCTAATTATCCGTTGGAGTCTGTACCTATCCTTTGGTTACTGTACCAAACCAGACAGTTATAGAAGTACAAATGATAGACTCAATAATTCCTCTGTAGAACTGTATCAATAGTTTCTAAGAGTGTGAAAAATAAGTCAGTTGGAAACTCACAGAAATGTAATTGACTCAATGGAACAACTGTCATACAGGATTTACTATAAGAAATCATATACCTTTCCTTTTTAAAGTTGCTGAAAGTAATAAGTCATCCTTGACATTCACAAGTCATTCAGTAAAATGTCTCTTTTTCCAGAAACCCAATATGTGTGGCATTTAATGAAGATCAGAGTTATAAAGAGCAGTATAGGCTCTTTTAAATGCAACTGGGAAAGTTTTTTAAAAAGGATACAGGTTGTATACCAGCTTATTTTTATCTCTGAAAAAGTAACAATGTCCTTAAAATATTTAACATGGAACATGCTAAAACGAGCATAAAGATTAACCAGGTAACATTCTCTATCATACTGTGCTGTAATAATCTGAAAGACCATTAGGTAGCAGCAAAGAGTACAGATAATTGCAATTCATTATTGCCATCTAGTGTTTTTCCAGATAATTACAGACTAGATATGACAGTCCTGGTTAAGGTGCTTGCAAAAGACACCATAGGAAACTTTTAGCCTACTTGGTAGAATGGCTTTAGTAAACCATTCACATAACCACATAAAGAGGCCACCAAAAGTTTATAGAACTAGCATTTATCTTTGGGCTGTTCTTGGTGGAAAAATAACTTGTACTACTACTTTATACACTTATGGAACTTATTCAACTAATTCAGAAAAACAAGAAGCTGCCAAAAGATGTTCTTTTGCACTTTATGTCAGAGCATTGTAAGCATTTTGCACAGATCACTCATTCAAAGAAATGTTTCACCAGAATAAAATCAGCCAGGAATTTCAGTTGATCTTAAAAATTCTCATTGTAACATAATATTTAAGAAATTAATAAACTGTGTATTTATGTTGTGTTAGTCAATAGCTGGAAAATGCCAAAATCCATTTTCCTGTCAATTTCTGTGTCAAGTGCCTTACATTTCTGTCATTATTTTTTACATTACAAAACTTTGGCTTGTTAAAACTAACATAATTAAAACATTTTCTTTTGCTTATAATATTAAGCTGTTGCTAAGCTGAAAATTGCCAAGATAATAGAAATGTGTCAATCAAAGTCCTCTTAATTCTACTAACTATAAACCTGCTTTAGACAGCTTTTGATTGATTGATTGATTGATAATGTGGCATCAAGTCAATTTCAGTGCTTAGTGACCCCAAAGATAGATTTTTTTCCCCTATCTTCTCCAAATAGATTTATCTGGAGAAACCTCGTCCTTCAGATCTTCCAATATTGCTGCTTTAATTGAATCCATCCATTTTACTGCTAATCATCATCTTGTCTCTTTCCTTTCACTCACACCCAAAGTATGATTTGAGCATGGTTATTTGTGCTTGAAGTTATAATTCTGGATTAATTTGCACAATGAGCCTTTTGTTCTTTACATAGCTATCCATAATATTCTCTGGAGTCTCTAACGCAAAAGTTCAAAAGCACTGACAGTCTTTCTAACTTGCTACTCAAAAGCCAACTTTTGCTTCCATCTTTCCCAAAGACTTCATGGCTATGCTTTCAAGTGCTAATCTGTGTGTACTTCTTGACTGCTGGTTCTTTTATTCTTGATAGATCATTCTAAAAGGCAGAAGCTATCCACAACTTTAATATTTTATTGCCAGTCCTAAGGCTTGTTGTCATAGCTAATGTGTTAGTTTGCTAGGTTTAAGTGTTTTGTTTGTTTGCTATGTTCCTTGACTTTGCTAGCATTTACAAATCAACTACATTTTCAGTCAGAGTAGTGTCACAAGTGTAGCATATTATAGGTTATTAATATTTCTTCCTCCAGTTTTGAAGCCAAACTGATCTTGTTTTCCAATATATATTCAAATAAAGGCAAATAAATGAGATAGCATACAGCCTTGTTCACTCCTTTGCCAACTAGGAGCCATTTTGTTTTGCCATGTTCTATTCATACTGTCTCTAACTATTTTCTATGGTTTTTCATCAGGGCAAGAAAATGTTCCGGGATTCCTATTTTTTTCTAAAGGCATCCTACAGCTTAATGTTCAGCACCCATATTGACTTCTTGGAGATGTTTTTTGGCTTTCTCAATTATTCAATAGACATCAGCAATGGGCTTTTAAAAAGCCATCTTGTACATCTGCAATTTTTAGGGAGTCAGAAAAGGTTTTTTTTTTTTTTTTTGGAATTGGTATACACAATGCCAGTGGTCAATCTATATACAGGGTTAGGTACTGTGCATTCTCCAAATTTACTGGTTCAGCTTGGTTAGAACCTTTACCTATTCTTCTTCTATTGCTTGGCATATTTCTGTAGCTATTCCATATTTCTGTAGTTGTCTGACTTGGTAATGATCTAAGGGCTAGTCTAGCTTTATTTTCCAGTACTAGAGGTTCTTCTATGTAATGCAAAGCTTCATTAGACCTGTTACTGAAATTGGAGTATCATTTTATAACCTTCAGATTATTGCCGGGTGGCTTCTGCAGAAGAGAAATTATCAGTGCATTAAATTTGAATTAGCTGTGAGAAATCATGCAGATGTATGCTCTGAACAGTACAGCAAGCAATGTTTTTTACCCCCCAGCACAACTGAACTGCTTTTATACAGTTTTAAGGAATCACTTGAGCAATCCTTAAGCTGCACTGCACAGATGATGAGGCTGAACCAGCATCTTTCATTTTTTTCACACATACACACATGCAAAGCAGATGTAGAATTCAGAATTGCCTTTCAAAGAAACCTGATCACAAAGTGACCACTGCTG